ATATATATATATTTATTTATTTATTTATTTATTCATTTATAATCGATTCTAATTATAAAAAACGAAGCAACTCTGATTTTGCTGAGCTAATAATATGAGCAGTGAGAAACTAATCCAACGTTGTAAGTGCCTATAAACTATATTTTAGATGAAATACACTACAAATAAATAAATATGTGTATATTTATTTATTTATAATCAATTTTGAATATAAAAACCGGAGCATTTACTCGCTATTTATGAGAAAAGTACGAAGCGCTAGAAGAAGCCTTATAAAGCCACTAATGTATCAAGGCCAAATAAACACAACCAAAATGAAATGATGTGGCATTATTAAAACATCTTAATCGTTCAGGTAAAAATAGTTCTTACTGGCTTTTAGGAAGTGTTCAACCTACTTCTCACCATTCTGATGTTTTAGTACATACCGCAGTTCCACTGTCCATAATTCTAATGAAATAAATAATAAAAAATTTAGTTCTCAATGAGTTTTTTAGTTACTAAAAGTCTTGAATTATGAATTATTATCTTTCTCGCCGACCATGCCTTAAATTAACAAAAACTACCCTGTCTCCTTTTTTCCAACTAGCTGAACATTTTCACGACGTTGCCAAGCTGGTATTATACTATCTCCAATGCTCAACTGAGTGGCAGGGTTCAGTAACATGGATTTTATCGCAGAAACATCAGACTGCAGCTGTTTAGGGTCATAACGATCTAAAATACAATATTTAAAAATTGTAATATTTAGTACAACAGAAATTTACCTCCGTTAGTATTTGCCGAGAGCAATGAAAGTGCACGGTTCAAACTTTCTTGTTGTTCCTCAACCTTCTTCAAAGTCTGCACAACACTATCCATCACAAATTTCACCGAATTTTGCAAGTCATTTATCTAAAAAATCAAGATGAAATTTGAGGATTTGGTAATTATTGCAAAAACCTACTCCAAAATTTTACTCATTACTGCTTTCAAGCAGCAAGGTAACCGAGTGGTCATTTACCGCTAATTTAATGAACCTAAAGACTGTTTTGGATTTCATTTTCCCAAAAATTAAGCAACTAGAATCCTTGCAGTGTTTTGAAACAATACTTCCACTAAATTTTCTGTAACCATAGGCCTAGAGACTAGCTGAAATAAAACGATCAATTCTAGTAATCTGATGAAGAATTCATTGAATAGAAACCGTGATATACCCAAAGTAAAAGTACTGCTGTTAATTTTTCATCTCAAACTAATGCAGTAAACATATGGTTTTATTTTCCCTCTTTTGCAAAGCATTTGGTGGTCTTTTGCGCAACCACCTAATCAACTTTGCCCTTATTTGAAACAAATATTTGTAAATTACATAGAAATACGTTTTGAGAACTTTGGAATTTTTATATGATTTGAAGAAAGCTACTTAGCAGAACCTGATTTTGAAGCTGCCTTTGTTCTTCAACGGCTGGATCAGGAACTTTAAAGAATTTCGGTAAAATAAATGACCGGAAAACACGATATCCAGCATACGACAAACACCCAACAGAAACAGCAGCATTCAGGAAACTCATGAAGCCTCTAGAGGAACCACTATGCGCTGGACACGAATGGCAGGAGTGGCTGTGAGTAAAACTACTTTCATTCGGTAGCACCTTATCATTTAACTAAAAAACTCAAGCATAACCACTACCAAAAAAGCAGTCTCTATGACAAACCTTATTCTCCTCCGCTAGTTTCTTTGCTTCAGCGACCTCCTCCTCACTTAAACCTTTTCGAACAAGGAATTCTTTTTGCTGTTCAAAAGGTGTGTCACGTACTTTTGGTGACAACATGAACCTGCGCGCTGCATCAACCATATCAAACCTAAGATTTACACCTTCTGACGTCCCTTCTCCTTTCCCAGAAGTACCATCTAACTGTGCAAAATTAGATTCCACCACGTCCATCCAGCTAAATCAGCTTTTTTAGCTCCATGTCGCCGTACTCACATGAAAGCGAGGCATGAGTCCTGCCCCAATAGCCATAACAAGGTGAGACTTACAAGAAGAAAACAAAGTGAGGACGCTTTCTGCATTAATTTTTCGTAAATTTTTGTTTTTTTCCGTATAATTTCAAAAAAAATAGTGGCTGAAAATAAATCTAGAACCTATGGTTCAGCCTGATCAACAAACTGCAAATAGTCAGGCCAGACGACCAGACTTCAAGCAGATTTATTAGGCAAAACAGCAATGAAACATTTATTTACAGAACTGGAACCATTATAAGTGACAGATATGCACAAATTGGAAAAACTTCAAGAAAATCTTTCCCCGTCATATTCCAAAAGAACATCTAATTCCTTACAAAATAAAGCAAAAATTTCGATAAAAAAAAACCTACAACGTAATCCTCCATTGAATAAACTACCAAGGATGCCGGCCAAAAATAAAAACAATTCAGGAGACTTACATTAGAAAATCAAAAGCGGAAGTTATACAGGAGCTTCTCAAAAACCAAAAATATAAAATCCACTTAGACTTACAATAAAAAAGTAATAATACCTAATATGTTAAACTGTTTCATGAGTAACTTAGGAAGAAATAAGAAATATAAAGAAACAATTATGCAGGCAAGAGTGCTCCAGTTTTCATTCAAAGAAAAACTGCTGAGTTCTCTCACAAAATCATTATTGCGAAGAGTAAATCACTGTTTTTGTCGTAGAAACCAAGTAAAATTGCCTAAAAAATGACATGTATTAACCAAATAGAGGAATAAGCGCTAACGCTCGCGAAAGAATTTAGGTTATGTCCATCGTCCAGAATGAAACAAAAAAAGAAGAAATTGTAACAAGTAAACATTGTTCAGCAATAACAACCAGAATATTCTATAACAATCAAGCATCTAAAATCTCGAAAAAAAAAAAAACAAAATTAGCCATTCTTTATCATTATATGTTGCAGGCAGCATTCTTTAGAAAAATCAGTGGTTTTTTTGAAAGATATCGAAAAGTTTACGCAAAAGTAGTTTTCATAAGTCTTTTGAGAATAATTACTGTCTGCATTCAGGTTTCCAAAATACCTTCTTCTCAAGGAAAAACAGTTTTCAGTCAGCGCTCTCATAACTGACGTACTGCTTAATCTACAGAAAACTTGTTTTAGTCCACGATTACTGCAGTGAAAATTTGGTAGCACTTTTTTTATTTAAAGTGGATGGAGAGTGGGAGAAATGTAGTCACAATTTTGAACGTTTTTTAAACAATAGAATCAATTATCTTTTACCGAGTAATTTCTGCGGAGCAGTATAAAGCTGACTTGAAGGCAGAGTGCATGTAACGTAGCACAGCTGCGTGGAAAGGTTTGCAGTCGGCAAAGACTCGGTTGATAGTATACGACTGTTAACGATCGGTGAACATCTGCTGTAGCGTAAAACGAGTTACTCTAGATAAAGCAAGTGAGACAAGATATTTAAACTGTACAATAATGGAAAGGAATGACTGGAAATAACTGTTTGCTTGAAAAATGAGCTATCGCAACCAAAAGGAGCAGTGGCAACCGACCAAACAAACAGCACTGTACAGTTACAGCATCGCCAAATAACTTCAAGGACCAGTTGCCTAAAGTCAGGGTGTCTGGCATAATGCCAAAAGACAGTTTTGATAACTGCTTCGCCTGTTGCCCTGTCCTCAGGGACATCGCAGGGTGGTTGTGAAAACGATATATATACAACGACTAAAATACGTGTTGTTGTAATTAGCAGTTAAATTGAAAAAAATTTCGTGCCTTTTTACGCAATATCGATTAGTTGCATACTTCGTTGAGGCTGACGACAGTAACAGGAAGATTCCGTACTGTTGCGGTGCCTGTTTGACGTTCAGGTAGTACCATTTGACGTCGATATTCTGGTTGTGGCAACAATGAATTGAGCCATTGAACTTGACTTAGAATTAATTGACTGTTCTTCTCCTTGTTACTAGACTGTAAGAGATGCAGCGGTGTAAAAAAATGGTTAATTCAAAATTCTGTTCAGTGAATTTTGTAATCATGCAAAATCCAGCATTTTTTTCCCGTTGTTAATTAATTGATAATTAGTTGGTCAAAGAAAAAACTGCACTGTAAATGCAATATTCCTGCAAAATGGGACTGACTAGAAAATCTGATTTTTGCAGATGTTTCATTGAGGTAGGATGGTGGTTCCTTCTTCTGAAAGTTTGCGTGCAAAATTATGCAGACATATTGCTACGGTTTGACGTTGTTCCGCTGACAAGAGAAAATTAGGATTTGGAATCAGCATTTCAAAAACTTAATCTGCACTTTTGACTGAGAAGAAGATCTTATTTTATTTCTATTACTAATTATATTCTAGTGGATAAACTTGGCGTTATTCTGAACGGTGATTATGGCAGGTTGAAAAAAAGCTGAGACTCTTGATTCTCTATTGAGCATGTGTATTTTCAGATGTCAACAAGGTTGGAGGTTATAGTGGAATTATAGGTAACTGTCATTTGAACTTTTGAAGTTGTTTTTTTTTTTCTTTCGGAATACTTTTAGTAACGTATCATTTTTCGTTTAGTTCTTTATAATAGTGACGTAACACTTTTAGTTTAACAAATTATATTAATTGCAACTAAATAAACGTTTCTCTATTATTTTTTTTTGATGTCATTTGTATTAATATATGTTCAGAGTTTTACATACTTTTTGTTTGGTCTGAAACTACCTTTTCATTGGGTGGATATTTGGCTTTACAAACAGTTTATTAAACTGAGTACTTGGTCATAAATAGTATATCATAAATTCAACTAAAACCTAAAACATGAGTATTTGTCTTTTTCATACAGTATTCTGGCAAGAAAACAGTAATTTATATGCAATATACTGTTAGAAATGATAAGTTTAGGATGGGCGGAAAAATTTGCTTATTTACAAAAAATATGAGAAGAAAAAAAAAAAGAAAAAAAGTTGAGTGTTCAGTAATTTTTGGTCGTAATGATGCTTGTGAATGGCTTTGATGGAAACGGATAACCGGCTGAATAGTGCAGTTGCTTTACAGCATCTTTGGCAAAATATACATCTTTAGCTGTCACCTTAAAAAAAACAAAGGAAATATGATCATTTTTGCAAACATAAATGGTAGCTTTTTTCGCTGCTGTTGTCATCGAAGGGTGAATGCCTTTTAATTTATCTCTAATTTTCTTCGATAAAAGGTTTGTACTCCACAGTAGTATAACTGTTTACCATTAGGAAGAACAATGCCAACACTGTAAAGATAACAAGAAGAGTGTTCATTGTTTCTTTGTCTTCTTCTTCGACACTGCACGCTTAAACTCTCTATATACCTGGTAAAGAATTATTGATAAGTTAAAGAGTTCTTGATAAACTGCTCCAACCTAGAAAACGGTATAACCCGATAAAAGTTAAGATCAAACTACTGTACACAGTTAGTTGACGTAGAACTGAACAATTTGACAAAGTCAGAGAGCATTAGTTTAATCTGTCATCACTCAAACGTTATTTATCTGTTATCAGCAAAGTTTACAGCATTATGTTAAATGAATAAAATTCTTTGAATTGTTGAAAAGTGACATAATTATTGACAAGTAGACGGATGATTTTAGAGTAAACCTAAGATATAAGTTTCGTTTGCTTGATGCAATAATTTAAACGCTCTGCGAAAATATTCAATACTACTGATATTTACTTTATAACCAAAGAGTAATAAGCACACTAAAAACTTGAGATTTTGGAAAAAAGTAGTTTATAAAAAATAAATTATATAAGATACATGAAAATAGGATTATAAATTCTGGAACGTCCAAACCTGGCAGTTTTTATGCGTAAAACGAAAAATTGTTTGGTGCTTTAATTAAGCTGAGAAATCTGTTGCTTGCTACTTTTCTGTCGCTTTTGAACAGTTCAGATTCTAACCGGTTTTTGTGCGCTATATACTAAGAAAGCTTATGAAAAATTTTCTTTAGCAAACAAAGA